TGTGTATAAGAGACAGTATTAAAGGAAAGTTCTTTGTGAATATCACAGATCTTGGTTCAGTTCTTTTCCATATGAAAGTTATGAACATTATAAAACACAAGTTAATTAAAACAAAATTATAAACATTTTAAAATTTATTGACAATTTACATATGTAAACTTAAAATTATTTTTATAACATATAGACTGGATACATACATAAAAATATAACTTAACTTTATCGTTATTTTCATTATTTTATCTTGTAATAGATTTTAATAAAATTGGAAAAATATGTTGTTTCCAAAAATTCATAGCTTTTTCAATTATATCATATGTGAATGTTTCATCATATTCTATCCATACTAACTTAAATTGTTTATTATTTTCGAAATTTGGATCAGTGACACAAAATATTCCCTTTTTTTTTTGCAGCTAGCATTTGTAAATTTATTTGTGCTTTACATTTTTTACTTATTTGTCCCTTTGATAAATAGTTTTTAACAGTTTTTTCTGAGCTGGGACATTTAATTTCCAAGATAAAATCAGAACCAATACCATCTGGTGAAGCTCCTAGTATAGGTAATGACGGAATTAATAATAAACCACTTTTTTCAATTTTTAGTTTCAATTCTTTTTCAATTTCAGCAATAACTAATTTTTCTAAATTCCTTCCACGTTCCATGTGAATGTTATCATATACTTTAGTTGCTCCAATAATGCGATGTACTAAATTACCTTCTGCTGTATGACATCGACTAGTTTCGTATATATTAGATGCTGTTATTCTGCCGAATCTTAATTCATGCCATAATGTATCATCTTTTTGGTCTTTTGTTTTTTCTTCTGTTTCTTTACATAAAGTTTCACACATTTTTTCTTTTGCAAATGTTATGAAATTATCAACTGGCAATGAATCTTTTTCAGTACAAAAGTTAAACATTAACTGATGAATTGATAATGTATAAACTGTTCTTTCCAATAAATCAAACGTATGTCTTGATAACTGACTATCTAATTGTTTTGCCTTAGCTTGTTCGATTACTTTATTTAAAAAATCAGAAGTATCAAAATTTCCAGTCGTATAAAATTTAGAGTTCTTTGTCATTTCATTAGTTGTAATAAATTTTTTGGAAGTTGCAACATTAGACAAGGCTGATTTTCTCCAATAACATTCAACTTCAGTTGGAGATGCAGATTCATGTCGCCTATTAATCCACATTAAGAAAGCAATACTATGCTTACATCCTCTTATAATTAAATTAGATTTATTTATAAAAATTTATTATATATTTATATTGCTACAAATATATTATATATTACTGAATTGTTATCTTAAATTTATCTTTACTTCATATTTTTAAAGATGCAAATGACAGTGTTCTATAAGGATATTGAAACAACTGTTTATTGAATTATTAATTATTACTTTTATAAAATAAAAATTTAGTTGTTTCTTAAATTATTACTCTTAAATATTTTAACCTTCTGATGCTGCACATTCAAGGCACTCTACGCGTTGAACTATTTCTTTTTCTTCGTCAACACTACAGATTACAGTATAATCTTTTTGTCGAACTCTGTGTTCAGGACAGATTCTTCCTTTTACTGTACAAATAGAACCTTCCCGTTTGACGCTGACATAACCTATAGCGGAATCACCGTAATTTTCTCTTGATGATCTATGACAGATACATTAGTTATATATAATATTTATTTATGCCATTTAAAATTGAAAAGAATTACCACTGCAATAATAATAAAAATGTACTTACAAAGTTGCTTTTATTCCTCGAACTTCTGGAGCATTATATCGCTCATCATTAGCAATATACTCCCAAACCATAAATACACTTATTTTTGGCAAATTTGTTGAATTGGCTTTAACAAATCCTAGATCCAGTTGATTTGGCATTTTAATTTAATATTTTTATTCTATAAACGTTTTGTTTCAACTTTCCCAGCGTAAGCATATAAGCGCAGCAGACGATTTATTGCAGTGTGACGTCACACACTTGTTAGCCAATCAAAATTGTTTTCTCAAATTTCAAATATTATTAAACTTTATTTTAGTTTTTTAGCACATATCTACTGCTGAAAATTATTAATTTTATTATAGATAAATCTATAATAATATATATTTCAATTATAAACAAAAAAAAATGTATTATTTTTTTAATGCAAACTCCCTATTCTTCCTATTCCAAATGGTAATTAATAGTCATTTAGTTCTTCTTTAAAATATTATTACATCACAAAATTGTGTTACTTTACTTAACTCAAGTATTATCACAAAGATTAAAAAAGTAACGGTACAAAATGAGAGACAAAAATTTAATTAAGGGAAAAAATTTTTTATGTAAAAACACTTGG